TTTTCACATGTGATGCTGCATGAGCAGGAACAACAACAAAAGCAGATGCAGGACTTTCAGGCCATGATTGGTATGCAAAATAATAAAACGATTTGATGCTAGCCCTTGTTTCTAAGTTAGTCAAGAGGAAGTAAAATGTTCTCTTGCAATGTAGTAAACAACTTGGCAACGTTGAGTTCACAAAACTTAGTTTTCACATGTGATGCTGCATGAGCAGCAACAACAAAAGCAGATGCAGGACTTTCAGGCCATGATTGGTATGCATGCAAAACAGTAAAATGAGTTGATGCTAGTCCTTGTTTATAAGTTAGTAGAGAAGAAAAGAAATGTTTAATTGCAATGCAATAAACTGGGAAACATTTGAGTTTACAAAACTTTGCTTTCACATGTTTTGATATGATTGTTTGTTAACATTTTACACAGAAACAAATTAATGCCCTGAGGAGGAAGTAGGGTACCCCTAGTGCTAGTACTCCCGAATTTCTTCTTTTTCAAAGACATGGTTACAGGCCAGGTAGGGTTACCCTGGCACTAGGGTAACCCTAGCTGAGCACTAGCGGTTACCTTAGCACCAGATTAACCGTACCTGGCTTGTAAACCCTCTGCTAGGGACAAGTCCTTTACCTGGGACAACTTTATTTGTGCTCCAAAGAATTCAAATATGAGAAGAAAAAAAATTGTGACTTAAGAAAGATTTATAAATTCAAAACCTGTTTCAGTTTTGCTTTGGCTAGAGAAAATTTCTAACAACAGTTTTTAGTGACAAAATATTCCCAGTCATGTTTTTTGCTACTGTCACTGAAATATTTGAAGAACTGATCAACTACGTAATTCAAGTGACAATAGTGTTTTGCAACAGAGCTATTATTGTTTGCTGGTGATATTTACCAGGTTAACTAAAGTGTGATAGGACAGAGTTGTCCTGGGTAGCAGGGTAACCCAACTTCATTCTACCTGTACACTCAGGCAATCTTCGATCTTCTCGTTAGGGTACTCCTAGCACTTGCCTGTTTGCAGAAAGGGCCTAAATGAAGTTATTGATTGCTGGCTAAGTTGACTACTGAAATTCAGTAGTTAACATTGACATTTTATTATACACTTTAAAATACACTTTAACTTTGTTAACCTTGAAATTACACACCTGAAACTTTTTATGCATGTCATTAAAGAATATGTTCTGATTTGGGTCAGTGAAGATCTGCCCATTCTAAATTCAATCACTTGAACAAATATTAAACAAAATAGTCTTGCAGGGCTGGGGGATCCAAATTGAA